ATCATGAATCGGTTTCGGTTGGTAGACTACTCGGCGGGAAAAAATACAGTTTTTGTCCCTTAAGTTTGCACCGATTCACATTTTGTCCTCCATGTTTACAAAAAACATATTTGGTCCCTTATGTTTCAAAAATTCAACATTTTTATTTATCTCCATCAATTTTCCATTAAAAGTTAAAACTAACGGAATCAAGCGTGTTCCATGACCGCCTTAACTAACGGACTAACGGTGAATTGCGAAAATGACAAAAGTGTTAAATTATTGGAACATGAAAGACCAAATGTGTCTTTTGTGAACATGGAGAACCAAATGTGAAATCGATGCAAACTTGAGGGATGAAAACTGTAATTTCCCCTATACAAGCGTGTTGCGATTCTTAGTTAACCCTTTGACCACTTGCCAGTTTCAATTCGAGTCCGTGACACACTCGAACTCATGGGCATGTCTAATATAGCCCACTATCAAAAAACTGCTAAAATTACCAATCCGTCCTCTCCACTTCGCTTCCACGATGTGCTCACTTTTTTAGGTGTTCTAACCCTAACTCGACCCAAATCCAGGATATGGGTCCAAATATGAGTCCAACTAACCACTACAGTAAGGTCATGTTACTCTTCGGAATTGGATTTTGTGGAATCATCATATTTAATGTGGAATTGCTTACCAACCCACACATTGCGTAACACAATAAATTTCTCTCGATGTGTTCTCACAAAAACAGACACGAGGTAAGAATTCTATTGTTTTAAAGAAGAAAAAAAGTCGAATAGCAGTCCCTATTTCATGCTCACCAAATGATATCTAATTGTACGCGTGTTAAGATATCGCCTATATGCATCCATATGTATGTGTATGGCAGTTAGGGTTAACAATAACAAATTTCGGTTGATGCAGGGGGAATAAATAAATACCCAAACCAGAAATGTAAAAACTCAAGGGGTGATTTTCTAATATTAAATAGTGAAGGGTCATATAAATATTTCTCTGGCATGATAAAAAAAGATAAGCTCGACTATTTGTACCTCCAACAAAGGGAAGACTTAACAGTTGTAGTATATATGTCCGTCATAAAACAACAAATCTTTTACCTATAGGCCTCGGGCAAACGAAAGCCACTCAGTACCAATTTGTCTGCAAGCATTTTTCCGGTCTTTGGCATTACATGCCAATGCAATGTCAAATTAAAGTCTTTGCCACGTAGATTGCTTCCCTACAATGATATAATTGGAAATTGATAAAATTGTCAGCTAAAATCGAAATAACTAGATGTGCTTCAGAGAAAAATCACTCACTTGATCAATAAAACGGTACTTGTTAGTTGTGTCGATCCTAAGTTTTGCTTGCTCTTTGGAGAGTATAATACTATCCCACAACGAAATCTGCCAAAGGGGTGCATTTGAATCATTTTAAGATATATATGTTTGTGAAATGAACCACGAAAGCGAAACATAGGGAATTCGTAAGAAAGAGAAGTATGCATCCAAAAAATGGAGGTGCGTTAATTAGTACCTGATTGAGCGCGTTCTTTGGGGTTTCATATTCTGCTGCTAAAAATACAAACACCTAGGAAATGCAAAATGGGATTTTGTCATATTGAAATGAACTTTAACATAGCAAGAAATGATTCAAACAGAAAATGATGTTTTCATATTCAATAAAACTAATGAACAAAGATACGCAATTCAAGATAAAAGATATAAGAGCTCGTAGTAGGTTTACTAAAACAAGACAACAAAAACTCTCTCTCTCTCTAAACTACCAGTATCATATGAAATCAAGGAAATATACACAGAAAATGATCACATAGTACGAAAAAAGATTTAATTGGACAAACCTGCTTTGTATTCCATGTAAATAGCGTCTCCAAGTTTGCTGATATGTCCAAAGTCAGGCTGACCTGCACATATAGGAAAAAGCCTCGTTAAAGAAATAAGCTTTCCGTCTATTTTTCAATAATTAGAAAGAAAAATCGAGCGGTTTGAAGCACTATGTTGCATATCAGGAAAGTCTCGTTCTTGGACGTTATGGAGCAAGAAATTTATACTACACACATAAGATTGAGAGGAACTAATATCCAGCTAATTGATTCAACCACGACTAAAATTAGTCGATAACAAATGGAACAATGGATTCCACATTTTGAAC